TGTATTTGTGTTGATAGAAGAATACAAGCATACAAAAACACTTTTAAACCTTTGCCATCAAATAGCAGAACTGATTCTTTTAGGGGTTATTGCAATTATCTATTTGTTATATTGTCTTGTTGAGCGGTAATTGATCAAATAAGCTGGATGAAATAATGTAAATAGTTGATGAAAATACTTTTAAAGAAGTAAATTGCCACTCCATTAATTGGTCATATTTGGTAACATGCAAGTTGGGAAGTGGTCTATGGACATACGTATTTCTGTTAGAACTTATGACTGGTCATTATAGTTGATCCTGAAAGTGTTTCACTTGTATTGACGTTTTACTTCAATAATTTACAGAACTGTTCCTGTTATATTTGTATTATTTATTCTTTTTTTGTGACTAACATACATGTAATCTAGGAGTTGATGGCTCATTTTGTATCCATAAGTCCCACACATTTGATTTTGATCCCTATCCCTCCTAATGACTTGTTAAAGCTTCCTTAAGAAAGAAAAAAACAGAACCTCAAAACTTGCCATAAGTGTTTATACATTTGAATGAAAGTCCTTGTTGTTTTTTGTCCAAGTAAGAGTAAAGACTCAATTTAACTTACATTGCATTATATACTAAAATATAAAAATGCAAAATGCTAGACCTCTTTATAGGTAATGTTTTTCTTTTTTTGTTACTTCTTACTCTTATTTAATAATGCATTGTAGTAAGCATGCAACCTCCCTTGGCCTTCTGTGCAGCGCTGTGATGTAACTGTGAGCCCTGCTATCTTTACAAAAGAGTCACAAGGCTTGTTATTCTGTCTTTGTGCAATTTCATACCAAATGTTATTCAGTGAAAAATATGTTCCCCACAAGGACAGTAAACTTTCCAGCTTCAGCGGTTAGTATGGGACCACAGGGATGTGCACACAGCGCTAAAATGACACAGTCGTCGTGCACCAGGAAGTGTCCACTCTGCTCCTCCTGCCTGTGACTCTGTGGATTATTGGGAGGTCAGGGGGGAGAAGGTTGTGTTAAGTAGAGTTTGGAGGCGCAGCGGGCAAACACACTTTCCCCTCAGGCGAGTGGTCAAGGGACAATTGAGGGCACACACACTCAACCTCATGCACACATATCCTGGAGCGGTTTATTCTGAGGTAAACATCTTGCCCCATTAATACCCACAGAGCCTCGGGCTACTTGGCCCACTGGCCTACCCTGGTGACCCTTGTTACCGTGGTGATTAGATATAGGGAGGCTTCATCTGCAAACATTTAGCCAGTTGTCACCCCTAATCTAATTCTGTCACCCTGCCACCGCAGCAGCAAAAACACACAAACATGAAATTAAGGACACACATTGTGGCACATAATTTACAACTGACAAATTAATACATCATGTCTCTGCTGCTGTGAGGTGAAAATATTCAAACACTGATCTATTTTTATGAGTTAAAATGACACTGCCTAAAATATATTTTGAGTAACTAACTCTCACCCAAGGAAATTGGAAAATGTATATATTTCACATCTCGATAGTGAACAAAGTGATGAGTGTTGAGTATAAACCCTATGGCTTTCCACACTGTCCATAAGTGTTTCCACACTCATGTTTTTGCCAAAATCCGGCTTGAGACACACCTTTTGTTGGAATGTAGTTCTTTGTCAGAGCAATGTTGCTATACAAAATAGTGAATTAAGCCCTGTGAGTTAGTTATTTATCTATTTTGTCATCAGATTTTGAACTAACTACAGTTAAACACAGTTTCACATTTAACGGTTTTACAAAATCTTCACAAAATCCCAAAATGCCAGGCAAGGCTGTTTTTCCTGTATTGTAATAGGTGACATTTTGAAGGTTGAACAACAAATGATATGTACCTATAACGTGCATTTCCTTTGTCGTTAAATTACGATTGGCTGTCACATTCCACCTCCTGACCCCTGACCTCTGACACACAGGTCCTCCTCCTCCAGGCCGAACCACCGTGGACACCGTGCCTCAGGTCACTCGTGGGCTTACTAAGCAGAGAAAAACAGTGTGTTACGTCTGGAAATAAGTAAATGACTCCATTAGGGGACACACATTTTGAGTTGTCAAGCAACTCTTATGACATAAAGTCATCCATCAGTTGTGAAACAGGTTAATGTTCTTAATATTCTTTAATGTGCTGCTATCGGGAACTACACACACCATCTTTGGTCTCACTCATGAAGGTTAGGGAGTAGGTAAGCCATACTGTAGGTCTCTCTTAAATAATAATAATAAGGCTCTCATACTAGTTTTGCTTGCTTCAATTATTCCTACATTCATTCTAGACATTGAGAGACACCTTTCTCCTGCATTTTTCATTTAAATGATGTTCCTGCACTTTGTATAAATACACTAAAGGAAGTTGATCTAAAGTGAATGTAAGGCTCCAGCTGTCTGAGTTTTGGAAATATATTAAACTTACAGTCACAGTTGAAAAAAGTGGAAAGCTGTCAACAAAAAGGTATTTTGGTATTTCTTTGCTAAAAAGACTGTAACCTTCAAAGGTATTGGATGGATTTCATGTATTTGGAAAACTGAGAGGACATGGATGATTCAGAGAAAGTTTTGAATACATTTTGTACAGAACAAAAAACGGATTTCTTAATGGCAAATGTGATCAGGAGTAATGATAATGGCAATAAATACTACTGCTACTTGACTTTCATTTTAAGACATGAGTTGACCAACTGTTAAGCTGTCTTGAGCAAAACAAATTAAGTGTCAAGAATCACTCTTTGTCTCATGTAGTAGCAGTCTTCATTATGCTCTTTACTTATAATCTTCTACATGTGCAGTTTAATGCCAGACTTTTATCCATATAAAAAAGTTTCATTTAATAATAAACTTCACTGAGTGAATTATGCATGTTGATCGTTGATGTGATTCTATACTCTCCCTCCAAGGGGATTGTTGGATGTTTGTGAAACTATGATTGGCATGCTCAATGTTATTTTTTTTAGATGTTCCACTAATTCCTCGTTTTAGACCATCCGATCACTTTTACAGCAGATTGTGACAGAATGATAGTGACCTCTAGCGGGAAAGATACAACACTGCAGGTCAGGAGATGTAATATCTGTGCAGTCTTTAAAAACACAGCAACCCTGTCTTTGTAGACCTTTTTTTGAAGCAATTCAGATGTTTGAATACATGACATCAACATGTCCTTTTTGTATTTGCTTATATCATTTTAAAAGCTAGGCTCATGGTGCAATGATGAGCTCACCTGCAAAACAAGTTGATCAACATGCCAGACTTATCTTCATTCCAGCAAATGGAAAATCACTTAACCTCACAGAAGTAGATGCAAAAACACCAATAAGCTTGTCACATGATGGCTCATAACAGCCTTGTAACTCGTAAAGCGTGGGTATAAAGTCTACGTTTACAACTTGCATGTGGGTTACTGTGAGTGTGTGACAGTCTGAAAGAGAAATAATTAGAAACACAGAGGGATATAGAGATAAAAGAAACATGAGAGGGCAGGAGAGATATCTTTTATGTGCACCGGTGTGTTAGAAGAATGGGCAGCCTGGTGAGTGCGCTCCGTTCTCCTGGACATGGAGGAGCCACAGACTGGTTTCTGCTTCATCCCTTCCTGCTGTGTGATCCGTTTGGGGCTCTATACACCTGGAGAGAGGTATCATGACCTAAAACAAAACAGATTCTGTTGTAGCTAACAATCTTCTTTGATCACTCTGGCATTTCTTGTCTTTGCTTCTTCTTTGTTCCATCCTAACCTCACATCTCTCTTTTTGCCAGGCAGTGAAAGGTATAGCTCATTGAAGGTGCCACTGGGGCAATAAATTATGCATAATCCCCAGGTGTGCTGGTAGTCATTGGTCAAACATGTGATCAGACTGCACTTTCATGTTGCTGGGTCAGTCTTCTAATATTGCACTTTATTTGAATTCTCAGGCATATACCATATGTAGATGTTTTTGGAAAGATTAGTCAACATAGATTTGTAGATTACCAGTATGTTGTAAAAACAGGCAATATGAATATCATTTACAATATAATAGATTGCAGTATATGTCTACTGAGAATTAAAATAATAAGAGGCTTTACACATTTCTAAAAGGTAATTTAGCTAAATTGATTTGCCATATCATTTGAATAATCTCAAATTGAATTTATTTAACCTTCATAAGAATAAAACAGCCTATGGGTTGTGAAGGTAATCACAGTTGAGCCAAGCCTTCTTCAAACCAACAATCAAAATCAGGATTATAATTCCTTTATTCGACCAACAGAGGAGAAATGTACATCGTTACAGCAAAGTATAGATGGATACGAACAAAATAAAAATAAAACACTATTCGATAAAGGCATGCACATAATATTTTAAAATCAAAACTATTACAATTTACAGAAGTAGACTTCCAGGTAGATAAAATATCTCCAAAATAATTGTTTTAACCTCTTTTTCATGTTCACTGCACACGGAGTTTTTCGCTGTGGTAAACCTATAAAATATATAATTTGAATGATCTCAAACTGAATGTATTTAACCTTCATAAGAATAAAACAGCCTTGAGGTTGTGTAGGGAATCACAACCAAGCCTTATTCTAACCAACTCTAAAAATACCTCCAAGAGAATCTTTTTTAACGTCCACTGCACAGTAACATTTCCACTGTGGTAAACCTGCATTAGATATGTCATAAATTGTTAAAATATTCTTGAATTTGGGTCAGTCAGTCCTGATTATCGCTGCATTTGTGTCCGTCAATCAGTCACGGGTGTGTTACTGCGTCATCGCCTCGCAGCCAATCACAGGGCGGCGTCCAGAAACTGGGCACCCGAGACGTAAACCTTGCAAACATGGCGACGCTCCGAAGAGAGTACGGAGATTGGAAATACGACCGTTTTTAACCGAGACTATAACCTCCCTCTGTGCATGTTACAATGTGGTGGGGTTAGCCAGAGCCACCGCACGCACAGCCTTTTAGACGATGTTTGCAGAGGTAAGTCAGAAACAGACGCGTGGTGTTTAGTTTTCCTGTGATAGACACGGCTAGTTAGCATTTAGCAGCTATCAGCATTAGCCCCTCAGGTAAACACACAGGCTGACAGGGAGAGGACGGCTCACACACAGCTGCTGTGCTCTCAGGAAAGGTTGTCTGCTATAAGTGGCAGGCAGCCCGTGGATTACACTGTTAAAGCTAAGTTAATACGATGAGCTCAGGATACCCTCACTGTCAACACCGTGCTGGAATTAGCTCAACACAGGCAATGTCCATATTAAATTATGAGTAACGTCCCTCAACAACGAATTTCTACAACACAACAAACACAGGTGAGCTGAGCGGTAGCTGTTGGAAATATAGATGGATAAAAACCTTATATTAGAGGTTAGAGAAAGGTACTTATTTGCAGAGGTGCGACAAGTACTCAGAAGTAAAAAATAGAACTACCTGGAATACTCTGATACAAGTTAAAGTCCTGCATTCAATATCTTACTCAAGTTAAAGTACACACGTATTAGTATCAAAATATATCTAAAGTCCAAACATAAAAATACTTATTATGCTGTTTGGCCCATTTCAAAATAATATAGTATATGTTTTGATTATAAATATTGATGCATTAATGTATATCAGAGCTGGTAAAGCTGCAGCTAGTTGTAATTACTTTACTAAAGGTTGAATAAAAGCAGAGTTGTTGACACTGCTTACAAAACTGTTTTCTCTAGGATTAGCTTACATCTATTACCGTAATGACAAGTGTGTTTGTGTGTGTGTGTGCATTTCTTTCCTATTTTACTTTTACTGTAGGGAAAGTGTGAGCAAAGGAATGCACTGCTGTCCAATTGAGGTGTTTCCAGTGGCTTTTAGTTGCCAATCTGTCAGTCAGAAAGCTCCCTGCTTTAGTCGAACACAAACTACTGTCCTAACACAAGCTTCTCCTAAAATATTAATAGGGTATCTTCAGTCCATTGTTGCTGGTCAGTGATTATGGAGATTACGCCTGTGCTTAGCCTGACAAAGCCTTTTTTTGTGTATGTGCTGATGACAGTGTAGTTTTGCTACACTTCTCACATGATGCAGTTTCTCAATGCACACTGGTTTCCTGGTTTTTGATGGATATGTCACTGACCATGGCATCTAAGACAGACAACAGTGTCCGCCACACCTGAGCTGAGGGATGACCACATCCAGGCACACCTCCAGCAGTTTAAGTACAGGTTTAGCCCTGGTAATAAGGCTTTAGCACTGTTCTGTATGTCTGACAGAGAGTCCAGTTGTTTGTGCAGTCAGGTGTTAAACTGTAGCTTAGTTGCTCCCATCCAACCCTTAGTCTCGTATTGGAACATCCTGTGATGAGGTTTGGCTTAACATTAGCTTTGTAGTGTCCTTTGTTGTTATTGTTTTTAAATGTAAAGTGAGTTCAGAGATATTACAGAATATGTAGACTATCAGACGTCTTACCTTTGAACTTATTAAAAGTCACCTGTTTCAGTTTATTCAACTACCTTCTGACGTTACCTCCTTGGTTTGACTTTTAGTGACATTTCAGATTACAGTTGGCATTTTAAATGTTGCACATAAGTTGTAACGCAAATGCTGCTTTTGTTTGTTGTAGTTCTTTTGATCGTAAGGTCATGTTTACCTGTAGAGAGACATTAGCCTTGACATTCTTTTCTTTTTTCTGACTATGATTCATTCTTTAAACAGAGGGTGTAAACGCATACCTTGGTTACCACCTGTTTACACTGAGTTAGCTTGTTGTAAGGGGATGTGAGTGCAGTTTGACTTCATCCACAGCCACACAAAGTTATGTCAGAGCTTTCAGCCCTGGCTTGATCTCTTTAAGGCATTAATCAAAGCTTGGTAGACATTAAGGCCAGCACACTCTCACATCAGGCCTACATTTCATCTAGTACACCTCTCCCTCCTTCCTTCAGTAAATACAAGCAGTTGCCCTGCCAGACAAGCGGACACCTTTCAATAATTACGCCCCATCCAGACCTGTGATTTGTATCCAGATATATCCAGTGAGTTTTTAGGTAATGCTGAGACTTACAATGCAGTTTGGCCTCACAGTTAGACTTCTGTCACAAGTTGTAATTGCATTTTGCTTTATTATGTGTATCCCTTGTATGTATCAATTTATTTGAAACTGCTAACTTATACAAAACAACAAATTGGGGCAGCACAAGGTGATGCAAACGTGTACTTCTACAGAGTCCGCCATTCATTTCCCAGTAGGTGTGCCTCTGGCGTTTGTGTGTTTCAGCTGGTGGGATGCTACTGGCCTAGAGATTCGTACTAGTTGGTTTGAATCCTGGGTGAGCAACACAAACCTACAGAAACTTCTAGAGAAGCTACTAAAGGGAAAAAAGAGAAACTGGGCACTGGGAGTATGTAACGTAGTGGTAATGTGGCTGATTTCATCCTCACGAGGGCCAGTTAGCCGTTTTTAACTACATCTCAAGGGAGCTGGCCATACAGAATTGGACAGGAATAAGGAGAGTGTTCAGTCATATATCTATGGAGGTGGTGGTAATAGGTACCTTGTTTTGGCCCCCAGGTTTGTTGTTTGTGGGATATATGTACTCCAGCTGGGTGATAAATCAAGCCAACATTAAGTATCTTTAGGGACCACCACAAAGAGCCAGAAAAGCATCTACACCTAAATTGTACACGTTTTTGTGACTCAACTAAATATTAGGGATGCTCCGATCGATCGGTCACCAATCGAGATCTGCCGATACTCACTCTCTACCGATCGATCGGTGCTCTCTAAACATGCCAATCGCGAGGGCCGATCGCATGACGTAAAATACATGACACTTTTCTCTGTACGCGGCAAAACAAGCTCGCCAAAATGGCTTCACCGGTCTGGCATTATTTTAAGGTGTCCGAAAAAGACAGTAAAATAGCGGTATGCAACGTGTGTGTGAAGCAGAAATCCTGCAGCTCCATCCGCTGTGACGGACCGGTGAGCGAAGCGAAACACACAAGAGTTAGACCTAACACACCTAGCTATTTTATCTACCTCTGGAACAAGCTAAACTAGTTATAAATATGTTTATTCTTCACTGTTGGCCTCACACATTACTGGATCAGCGAGCTGCATGAGACGATACTGACGGGCTGTCAGGAGAGGGAGAGAGGGGGAGAGAGAGGGGGAGAGAGAGGGGGAGAGAGAGAGAGGGAGAGAGGAAAAGAGAGCACTTCCGCTCATTTCTCCCGTGGTATTATCCAAAGTGAATGTAAACTTGAATAATATACATAATTTGAATGTAATAATTAAGTTGATTGTTGTTTGTGGAAGCTCCAGTGAATGAGCCCCATTAACTGAGTTTTAAACATCACTTTAAATGGAAGATTTAAAGTGATGTTTAAATCTTCCATTTAGGCCCCGCCCACTCAATCGGATCGGCGATCGGTATCGGCCGATACTGATTCCGGCGATCGGCGATCGGCCCCAAAATTGGCGATCGGAGCATCCCTACTAAATATACGTAATTCTTTCAAAAGAATGTTGTTGTCCAAAGCCAATGCATTTTATAAGTGTCTGCACACAATCATTTCAATGTCCTCTTTAATTTGTCACCCTACATGTGCTCACATGTATCTATTATTGCTTGAGAAAGTTCTGTACTTCCTTGTGCAGGGATCAGATCATTCCACATGCATTACAGTGCAAGTTGCCCATCATAGTTTACTCAAGGTGTTGATCTGACATTTTATCACCGCTGTTGGCTTCATCACCTTAAAGGTAGGGTAGGTAAGTTTGAGAAACCGGCTCGAGATGCACTTTTTGTTATATTCCATGGAATGCTCTTAACATCCCGATAGCAATGAATATCTTTTATATATAAAAACATGTCATCTGTGGAAGCCGTAGTACTGTAAAAAGCACGACCAATCATTTTAGCCGGCCCGGCTAAAATAACTGGATGGCCTACCTGCCTTTCAGCCTTCCATCTGTGCACAAACTTATCTCGTGCCCTCATTGGTCATGTGCGCGTTGGTGTGTGTTGGAGGAGGGGCTCTATAAGGAAGTGGCAGATTTTCTCCGGTTGTGTATTTTCAAATTCTAGCGATCTCGAGCCGGTTTCTCAAACTTACCTACCCCACCTTTAACTATAAATGGCTGTTAGTGCTCAGTATGTACATATACACACATAGTTCACTTGTTACACTTTAACCAGTACTTCATTCTGTGGGAGGGGAAGTTCTTCTGCTGGTCAAACACCAGCTTCTCTACGCAAAATAAGAACTGTTTATCCATATATATATATATATGTATTGACTGCGGATGGAAATTAGCTCAAAGCTAAATCTGGCATATTTACGCTTGACACATTTAATTGTTTTAAGTCTTCATTGATGTGCGTTGTCCCTGCTAAATAAATATCCCAGGTGGTATCTCTAAATGCTGGGTTCATTATGAGGTTGTCGGCCTGTAGAGGAGTGGGAAAAGTGGCCCTGTTAGCTCTCCTGCTGAACCCGCTGCTCCACCTTTTATGTTAATTTAGTTCAGATAATAACCAAAGGCTTGTTAGTGCTGGATTGCACAGCACAGGTTTTCAATTACCCTGCAGCTAGAACTCTCCAGTATCTGCTCTACTGCTCTGTGCTGTTTTTTTTAGTGTTGGCTCTCAGTGATTTGTCCACGTACTGCTGAACACCTTTTAGATGACAGATAAGGTTTGACATGCTGGTGAGATTTTAGCATACCTGGTTGTGGACAAAACAACATACCAGGGCACGTTTAAGTTACATTTATATTACATTTGTTACTGTTAGATAACATATTACTGCCTTACATGTTGCCAAACTAAGAAACATGTTACTATATCTTCATCAGTTTGAACATAAATATTGGCCTGCCACAAAAAGTCAACCCTAACACATGACTCTGCTACATTCAAAAAGTGTGGATGATTTGTTTACATCTTCTTATTATCTTGACAATTTCTGTTCTCAAATCTTAACCGAATGACAAAAATAGACACTTTTCTTGATCTCTCCGAATAAACTCTGTCTATTCTTGATATATAATCCTAAAGCTTATTGTAGCTCTTTTTGTTACGGTGGTCTTGGTGGATTAGACCAACATGATCAGTCCGCCCCGCTCGCTTTCTCCCCCTCGGAGGCATTAACCATGGATACACAGGAGAGCTTTAATGGGCTGAGTTAACCTCACTCACCCACACTTAAGGTTTGTAGCTAAGTGCTTATGGCTTTGAACATAGATCACAAAAATAGCAATTTCTTTGCCTTTGAGCAGATTTTCCTCCATAGTACGTGTCTGTGTATGTACAGTGCAGATTTTCCTCCATAG